AATACAAACACAATTCCTTTGTGGGTTGATGATGTAGCTTCGCTACTTTTTCCATTTTGTCGTAGCTTAACTTGCGTCTTTTTCTGGTGGGTATCTCAAGTGTTGTGAAGCTTCATTTAATGGAGAATAACTTTAACGGTCCACATGTATAAAGTAATACATACTTCATAAACTCAAAATAACTTTTGGAATAAAATACGAACACAATTCCTATGTGGGTCGATGATGTAGCTTAGCTACTTTTTCCATTTTGTCATAGCTTAACTTGCGTCGTTTTTCTGGTGGGTATCTCAAGTGTAGTGAAGCTTCATTTAATGGAGAATAACTTGTAGCTCGGTGCGTCAAAAAATATCAACGGTCCACATGTATAAAGTAATACATACTTCATAAGTATAATAATATGGCGCGAATATACGAAAAGAAATACATGCTAACACTTGAAGCAAAAAGTACCCAGCTCAGTTGGGCCTGTTGAGGAACGTTAGGCGTTCAAAATAAAAAGTCGTCAGACAAATAATAAAGTGCACATTCTTTCACTTCCCAGCACTAAGTGCAACTTGAAGCGAATTTTGTCAGGCTGTTACATAAACCGCGAAAAACAAACACCGCCTTGTACAACGCAACTTGCACGTTACAGAATGTAAGGCTAAAAAATAACCACAGGGCAATTTCTTTTGGTCAAGCCTGTCGTATGACATATGAAACAGCAGGTTTTTTACCATCACATGTCTGTACCATCATCAAATGCCCTAAGGACAGACTGCAACAATGAAATGTTTGAAGGTTATGAGGCTAAACTGTCATCATTAATTGCTAAAGGCTACGATTTGTACCGGAAAAGCCGCCTTGTATTATTTTCTTAGTATGACGACATTTTTACAGATTTAAAAAACAAAAACAAAAACATTCTAACTAGATATATTTTCTTTTATCAAGAATCAATTTACAAAATTGCACTAGCTTTTTGAACGCAGTGTTGTCGGGGGTGCTAAAAGTGGCGTTCGCTTCACACCCGCATGTAAAATTCTCTCGAGCGCTTGAAAGAGGGCCAGAACGTTGAAGATTTAGCTTGCCATTGTCTGGTCTTATTTCAATATCAAAGTGCAGAAGGACAACAAGATGTCTGCTTGCGCAACCTTGGTCACTCTGATCTCCTGCGCGCCTTGTTGCGCCCTCGCTAAATGCGCCCATTGTTCTCTTAGTACCCTTTGATTGAAATCGGACATCTGCTGTGCTTTTGATTGGCTGTCTGATAAGACAGACATCAAAAATATGATGGAGGGCGTGTTGGAATAATATCATGTTTGGTGTCTTTTGGTTTTCTTTCTGATCAAAAAAAAAAAAAAAATCGAACATAATCAAGAATTTTCAAGTTGTCAGGAGGTTAGGCGGTTCATTTTTTTTTCCAAGTGAGCCCAAAATGTCAAAAATTTTCAACAAATAACAGTGTCTATTTTTTAAAAAAATATTGTTTTTATTTTTTTAATCAAATGCTACTAATTTCTCCTTGGAACAAAGATCACATGTACATTTTTTTTCCTTAGGTTTTACCGTCACATTTTTTTTTCTGAGGTTTTACCGTCACTTTTTTTTGGGTTTGTTTTAGTTTTTTTTACTATTTTTTTCATTCTTGTTAAAAACCTGCGTTTTGTGTAAAAAAGCACTTTATTTAAAATGTAAAATTTATCGTGGCATATTCATTGCATTTTTGAAAAATACTATTGATTGCCTAGTACTTTTTAAACAAAATGCTAATATCTGTATGTGGTCACTGGTTGGAATCCATTTCCATTCAGTCTGGCATCATATCAAAATACGATCGTTGCATGTAACAAATGTCACGCCAGTAACCTTTGTAGCTCAGAACTTCAATTCTTCTGTATCCATCCCAACTCCAAGTTAAAAATGTGTTTCGCAAGAGATGGAATCTTTAAAATCTCCTCAGCAAGCAACATCCTCCAAAGCTGTGCTTGTACATGATGAGAAAGTTATTGACTTCTCCACATGTGTTTGTTCCCAGATTGTGTCACATGAAGCAGCTGTCCGTCAAAAATGAACATGTCATGACGCACACGAGAGAGTTATCCCTTAAGGGCCACTGTAATCTGGTCCCAACGGTGACTGTTGCAGTTGCCTTCATGTATGTGTGTACCCCCCCGCCTCCTTCACGTCAAGCACATGGAGTCCTGTTCTACTCTTGAGAACGAATCACTGCGCTCGCTCACGCCGGCTTAACAATGTCACGGGTCTTTTAAGCCGCAGTGGACAACTTGATCCATCCGAGTACAACTAACTGGTTCTCATTACGCGAGCCTCCACTTCTCGGTGTTGTCTTTCAAGCGCATAAATAGGTCACGTATGTGCAGCTACATGCACTGAAACATAGGTTTGCACCTGATCTTGCAGGGAAACTGATAAAAGACTGTGGCCTCCTTCGTCAGCATTGCTGACGATGCATTAAATATGCCCTAGTAGAGAAACAATGCAGGTGGAAAGTTATTTTGGACTCCAGTGGGTGACTCACTGTCTCTGTAATGCGATAAAGAAAATTTTATGTTTATTTTGCTTGTTGTGTACATGAGCAGTCGGCACGCTCGACTACCAGCTGGTGACAACGCAGGCTCCAAAGTTGAGTCGGTTTGGTTGGAAAGTGCAGGAACTCCTTTGGTACAGTCGTCCGAGGGTCACTTCGACATGACTGTGGGCGGTCTTGATTTCTTTGGGCCTTGGCAAGGTCTGAGTCTACCACTGAAGACTCTGAATTTTGTTCTGTGAGACATTCTTGAAGATCTCTGACTCCTCACAGGGCACAGCGCAGGCTCAAAAGTTGAGTCGGTTTGGTTGGAAAGTACAGGAACTACTCTGGTACAGTCGTCCGAGGGTCACTTCGACATGACTGTGGGCGGTCTTGCTTATTTTGGGCCTTGGCAGGGCCTGAGTCTTCCACCGAAGACTCTGGCTTTTGTTCTCCGAGACATAGTCAAAGATCTCTGACTCTTCACAGGGCACAGCACAAGCTTGAAAGTTGAGTAGGTTTGGTTGGAAAGTGCAGGAACTACTCTGGTTCTGTCGTCCGAGGTTCACTTTGACATGACTGTGGGCGGTCTTGCTTTCTTTGGGCCTTGTCAAGGTCTGAGTCTTCCACTGAAGACTGGCTTTTGTTTTCCGAGACATACTCGCAGATGTGTGACTCTTCAACAGGCACAGTGCAGTCTTGAAAGTTGAGCAGATTTGGTTGGAAAGTGCAGGAACTCCTTTCTTAAAGTCGTCCGAGGGTCACTTCGACATGACTGTGGGCGGTCTTGCTTATTTTGGGCCTTGGCAGGGCCTGAGTCTTCCACCGAAGACTCTGGCTTTTGTTCTCCGAGACATAGTCAAAGATCTCTGACTCTTCACAGGGCACAGCACAAGCTCGAAAGTTGTGTAGGTTTGTTTGGAAAGTGCAGGAACTACTCTGGTACAGTTGTCCGAGGGTCACTTTGACATGACCGTGGGCGGTCTTGCTTTCTTTGGGCCTTGTCAAGGTCTGAGTCTTCCACCGCAGACTCTGGCTTTTGTTCTCCGAGACATATCCGAAGATCTCTGACTCTAATCAAGTCTGGTGTCATACTCATCAACTCCGCTAATTGTCTGTTGATGTGACACCAGTTCTCGAACTGTTCAGACAAACCTCATATTTTGATCTGAGCCCGTAAAAACTGTTCACCAGGAAGTCATCAGTGCACATTTGCCGTTCAAATCTCGACAATAAAAACCGGTGGCTTGTAACATCTCTTCTCTTACTGCCTTTATCATATCATCTTTATGCATTTTCATTCCGCTATAATATTTGTCACCGAATTAGTTCCGGTCAGGGCTGCAGACTTTTTGCCTTTAAAAGCCGAAACTAATTCCAGGCAGTACAAAAGTTTGAATCGGGAGTTCATTGCTTTTGTATCTCCCTGCATAAAGAGCCATTGTAAGGGATACATCATTGTCCGTTGTGCAGCGTACAGCAGGGGTCAGTCTCAACCGCCTGCTTTTGTGGGGGAGTCCCCGCGCCGATATCCTCCTTTTTTGAATCGTTGTTATGTTTCATAACGGACGGCCTCCCATATGAGCGCGGCGGTTTGCTACCTGAACAATGCCCGTTTGCTTAGCGTGAAATGGAGACACCTTTGACTGTGGCAACCTACCAGTAATTGAGGTCCTTTGCCAGTCTGGCGCGGGGTCACATTCACTTCATTCGGGCGGCAGCAGGCGGGAGCGTCGCAGCATTGAAATCCGGAAAGCCGACCGCATTGTCGGGGGCTCTGTTTGCTCGAGGCTGCCACAAAAGCACGCGGGGGCCTGCGAGGTTGAGAAAAAAGACGTGTTGCACAGTCATTACTGTGGGCGGTCTTGCTTATTTTGGGCCTTGGCAGGGCCTGAGTCTTCCACCGAAGACTCTGGCTTTTGTTCTCCGAGACATACTCCAAGATCTCTGACTCTTCACAGGGCACAGCACAAGCTCGAAAGTTGTGTAGGTTTGTTTGGAAAGTGCAGGAACTACTCTGGTACAGTTGTCCGAGGGTCACTTTGACATGACCGTGGGCGGTCTTGCTTTCTTTGGGCCTTGTCAAGGTCTGAGTCTTCCACCGCAGACTCTGGCTTTTGTTCTCCGAGACATATCCGAAGATCTCTGACTCTAATCAAGTCTGGTGTCATACTCATCAACTCCGCTAATTGTCTGTTGATGTGACACCAGTTCTCGAACTGTTCAGACAAACCTCATATTTTGATCTGAGCCCGTAAAAACTGTTCACCAGGAAGTCATCAGTGCACATTTGCCGTTCAAATCTCGACAATAAAAACCGGTGGCTTGTAACATCTCTTCTCTTACTGCCTTTATCATATCATCTTTATGCATTTTCATTCCGCTATAATATTTGTCACCGAATTAGTTCCGGTCAGGGCTGCAGACTTTTTGCCTTTAAAAGCCGAAACTAATTCCAGGCAGTACAAAAGTTTGAATCGGGAGTTCATTGCTTTTGTATCTCCCTGCATAAAGAGCCATTGTAAGGGATACATCATTGTCCGTTGTGCAGCGTACAGCAGGGGTCAGTCTCAACCGCCTGCTTTTGTGGGGGAGTCCCCGCGCCGATATCCTCCTTTTTTGAATCGTTGTTATGTTTCATAACGGACGGCCTCCCATATGAGCGCGGCGGTTTGCTACCTGAACAATGCCCGTTTGCTTAGCGTGAAATGGAGACACCTTTGACTGTGGCAACCTACCAGTAATTGAGGTCCTTTGCCAGTCTGGCGCGGGGTCACATTCACTTCATTCGGGCGGCAGCAGGCGGGAGCGTCGCAGCATTGAAATCCGGAAAGCCGACCGCATTGTCGGGGGCTCTGTTTGCTCGAGGCTGCCACAAAAGCACGCGGGGGCCTGCGAGGTTGAGAAAAAAGACGTGTTGCACAGTCATTATCTTCCCAAGGACTCTGGAGAGGAGCTTTCAGCAGCATATGCTCCCGTAACTCCGGTTTTCTACACATTGGAAGTCAGACAGAAACTCGTGCTGCCCTGACGCAGAAACCCTGAAAATATTGATGCGGATGTATTTCACCAGCACATACAGGACGTGTCCAACTCTTGTTTGGCATCATTTTGTCTCCCAAACAAAAAAACAGTGGCTTTTAATTTTAGCCACTCAGAGGTATGAACAAAGTAATTTACAAGTAGTGTTTCATTGTCATTGATCAGACACTTCTTGGTTCCTATCAGGGAATGTGATTGGTTGGATAATTCCTGGTTCACGGGACATGACGTCAAGCGACGTGGCTGTCCCATTTTTGATTCCAAGACACGGGATAGGACTTTAGGGGCTGTCTGAGTGGGTCGATTGTTTTTATCCACTTTTGAATCGGTCTTTATATTGTTTGGATCTATTCTGAAACTGTGCAAACAATCGCTTGGAGGATCTGGGACGATCAAGTGTGACATCATATGAGGGGTCCATCCATCCATCCATCCATTTTCTGATCCGCTTTATCTTCACAAGCTAATCGCAGGCAACGCAGAGACAATTAACCATCCGCGCTCACACTCAGACCTAGGGACAATTTTGAGTGTCCAATCAGCCTGCCATGCATGTTTTTCGAATGTGGGAGAAACCGGAATACCCATAGAAAACCCACGCAAGGACGGGGAGAACGTGCAAACTCCATACAGGCAGGCCGGAGCTGGAATCGAACCCGGTACCTCTGCACTGTGAGGTTGACGCGCTAACGACTTGACCACCGGGGTCTGAGAGGGAAAAATCGTTTTTCAGAGACATGTTCAGGTTCAATGTTATTTCCGGACAAGAAACAGCAACAAGGACAACGGGATCCAGTAGGGTGTGGAAGTTCAACGAAAGACTCGGCCCGTTTCACTCAGAGGCAACGAACGGCTAATCCTCGCTTCGTGGAAATTGGCGATACGATTTTTCACCATTCCGATCAAACTACGATTGAAAACAATGTATCGGAGGAGCTACTGGTGTTGACAAATCAATTGGGGGCTCATGTGCGCACGGATATAAAAGTCGAAAACTGGAAATGAATTTTGACAGCGATCTGAGGGAAAAAAAAAAACGATAAAATGTCGCTTTTTACAAAAGCAGGGGCGGACGTGGCCTCTAATCGTGATCTCCTCTCTTTGGTCCCCCTCATCCCCCCCGACCCTCCACCTCCTTCTCTTGCCACTCGCCGGCTTGTTCAATAATGATCCTTGCTCTCTGTGACGACTGGAATCCTTTTGTGCCGTCTGACACGTTTTATGTTTGAAAGGGAACAGAGGGCGTTTTTACAATGGCCTTTTATGCCCTGTGAGAAATATATGAGTCTTTGGGTTCGGCTAATGAAGGCGCTTTCATGTCCCCCCCCCCCCCGCCGACCTCCACACACACACACACACACACACACACACACACACACACACACACACACCCTTTCCTTGAAACACAACTCACTGCCCCCCAGTAGGGATGGATTGTCTGGGGTCCACACAAGGCCCGCAGTGTTGCCCTATGCCAGCCCCACCCCCCCAAGTATTGATAGAAGAAATTGGAAAAAAAAAAAAGCGTATCTTCACATTGACATTCAGACAGGATTGGGGTGAGCCCAGGCGAGACCACTGCGCCCGTCGTCATTATCAAGGTGACCATACGCCCCCCCCACATCCCAACACTTGTTTCAAAGCTACTCATTATGGCCCCGAAGAGCACCGAGGAGAGCGAATGATAAGCAGACAATGAGGAGGAGCAGGAAGACCGGACGAGAGGAATGAGCGCGATGAGGAATCCTGATGAGGGGAAGGAAAAAAAAAAAAAAGAAAAAAAAAAGCGTGATTGGGGAACGAGGGGTGAAATAATTACGGCGGCCACTTCACCAAGGGCACATTGAAGTGTGCTAAGAAGTTGCTTCGCCCGCACGCGAGGAAGTATCAGCTCTCAGGCAAGGGCAGCAGAAGCAAAAAAGGAAAAAAGCAAAATTGAGCCGCGGGGTCATGGGAGATGAAGTCCAACGACTATTTTAATTGTCACTCTCTAATGAGATTAATTAGGAGGCGCATGCTTGCCAGACAAGCATGACACCTACTATACTTTCAAAACATCACTCTTTCATTGTCTTTTGATCCCCCCCACCCCGGGCCCCCCCAAAATTTACACATTGTGTGTCTAATTTGAGCACAATTTACAGCAATCCGCTAACTTCATGCTAAGACCCGATGCAAAACAACACCGAGGGTTAAAATAACTCCCATCAATTTTGCAGTCAACTCACAGGCATATATTCTTTATCCTTTTTGGGAAAAAAATGAGTCGCGTATTTTCCGGACTATAAATCTCAGTTTTTTTAACCATAGTTTGGCCGCAGGGGCGATTTATACTCTGGAGCGACTTATGTGTGAAATTATTCAAACATTATTACAGTATCATTTTACATGTTATTTTCACATTAAACCACAAGAGAGCGCTCTAGGCCCGTGTTGGTAAGTCAACGATGAGTCTGACGTAAGCGACGCAGAAGAGGGAGCGCCGTATCGTCCACCTCCGGAGTTGGCGGATGTTACGTGAACATACCGGGCACGTTCTCTGTTCGTTGTTGATGCGTCATGTAACGTTAGCATTTCGTACGCTTATTCAGCCTGTTGTTCTCGATTTTATTTCGATTTTAAATCCTTGTAACATGACTGTTCTCGGTGTGGGATTTTGTCATGTAATGTCCCCAAAAAAATGCAACTCATACTCCAGTGCGACTTATATATGTTTTTTTTACGGCCTGTGCGACCTATACTCTGGAACGATTTATAATCCGGAAAATACGGTAATATGAGTGCAATTTACTTAGTGGTGAAATTCTTTGGGTATTTTGCATGTTTGTATTCTTCTGCCTGTTAGTGGTCAAGGAGGGCAAAAATCAATGGACACTGACCCATCAAAACGTGATCAATTAATTCTTTCTTGTTGTTTTTTTGCTTCTTGGTCTTTACTTATTGAATGAAGGACAAGAGTTCAATCAGTACTTTTGCCAGACTCTTTTTGTACTTCACCTTCAGGACACCCGGGGTGAGCGCCACCTCTGCTAGTCTGCACACTTCCCGCTTGGGTTCGTGCGTGTGCGGCGGCTGCCAGGCGAGGACGAATATCCCCGCCGACAGCCGAGAACCGAATTATTCCGAGCGTTTAACATCTAAGGCTGCACAACAGAACAAGGCGAGTGTGTGTAATACAAGAGCCGTGAGTTCAATGGCAAAACAAGAAAATGTTTTTTTTTTCCCCCATACGCTTTTTTTTTTCTTCGAGTGGAAGTGGGGGTAAATAATTCATTTCCTTGGCTCAGGGCACGTCCTATTGTCACTGCTTAACAAGCACAAGGATGGGCAGCCGGCAGGCCTCTTATTGCTTGTGAGGAAGAGGGAGTGAGATGAAGAGGGGAAGCATGGTAATGTTCTCGTTTGATCCTCCCTTGTTAGCCCGTGGTGAGCTTCCTCCGTGCGCCGACTGCCCGGAGAGACGGTCGGATCGCGCCCGGGGGGAAAGGGGGGGTTCTGTCAGGTGTGCGCGTTTGTGAGTTAAAGGACAGTTAAAGACACTTCCGTTCTGTCGCTGTAATGCGGCCCAGGTGGAGGTGTCTCCACGGCCGGCGTGTTTGGGTGTTCCGGGGGTGCATTGTCAGGGTCCAAGCTAATGGCAGGAAGTCTTTAAAGTTTGCAAGCCGCCGCGTTTCATCTCAGCACAGAGCCCCCCCCTACTGCCAACCACAGACCCCAGCTTTGATCCTCTCGCTCTCCTCCAGCCTCTCGCTCGGGCTGTCACCACAGCGCCGGGGCAGAGGTGCCGCTTAATTATCACTCTCACATTACATACTACACGTGTGGACAATGCAGGTAACGTACGTTTGCATGCAGCACATATCTAGTCGGGACATGTGCGATACGGCAGGAAATCCGTCAAAAAGGGATAGATTTGCCCACCCCGGGAAGGGATGCTAACAGCTCCAAGAATCAACAATTTTATTTACCGTATTGGCCCGAATATAAGACGGCCCTGATTATAAGACGCCTTCGCCCCCCTCTTTTTCTTGCTGTTGGTCCAGTGAACTGTGTCGCTGCTTTATTAAATAAGTTTTGGTTGCAGCTCCGAAAAAAGGAGAGCTGTGGTGTTGTTTTTTTAAAACGCTCACTTTTATGAATGTTTTTCACAGTCTCAACCAATACAGTTACGTCTGTCCGTCTCCGTGCCTTCTCTTCTTCCTTCGACTCGAGAGGCGTTCATGACCGCCTCGGAAAAACGTAAATTAACGATTCCTTCATTGAAACTACAAAAATGGAAAAGAACGCATCAGAACAGAAAATCAAGCGAGGAAATCACAAAATAAATACGATAGCCCCCCTACGGAATTTATTTGGTGATTTCCTCGTTTGTGAATACAGTCCACAACAAAGGAATAAATAACAAACACTTCTGAGACAGTCCAGTCTCCCACAATTCACTGACATCTGATCGTTCTGTTGCAGCTACACTCAAAGAAATACCAAAATAAATTCTGTCGGGGGGCTACAGAATTTATTTTGTGATTTTCTGTTTTGATGCATTAGTGTATTTTCAATTTTTGTAGTTTCATTGAGGTAATCGTTCATTTACGTTTTTTGGAGGTGGTCATGAATGCCTCTCGAGTCAAATGAAGGGCTGTGTCTCCATCTAGTGGATGCATTGTAGATTGCACCTTTTAGTCCAGTGCGTGCAATATATGAAAAATATTTTAAAAATAGCCCATTCATTGAAGGTGCGCCTAATAATCCAGTGCGCCTTTTAGTGCGGAAAATACGGTACGTAGCACAGTTCGTACTGAAAAAGCAACCCAAGCGCTTCACAAAACAGGTCATAGAAGACAGGCGCAACC